TGAACAATATAGATTACATTTATAATTACATTAATAATAAAAATGTTAATATTCAGTTATTATTTAACAAAAATATAAATAATGTAATAATAATGACGATTTGGCGGAAGGCACAACTTAACATGTTTAGCGACGCTCCTGAGATATAGCGTTGCCCGGAGTGACGACGACTCCGCCGTCGAGTCTCGACGGTAGTGGGGGAACCCGCCCCGTCGCTCGCGAAATCGGCTCGAAAAGAGCAACTAATTCCGAGCACTGAATTAAAATCTCGACATAATTTTAATTCACCGAATTATTTTTATGTATTAACATAAATTTATTTCATTTATATTTTATAAGACAATTAATCATTTAATCTTTTTATAATAAATGGAATATTGTTTATGCTATGAAAAAGTAAAACTGCGTACCATACGTGAGCGCGGTTGCCGCCGCGCCGCAGCTAACTTCGCGCGCCCGCCCCTGACTTACTCTTGTAACTCCGCGCTGATTGACTGATTACAATAATTAATTGCGGTGAAATTATTAATCAAATCGAAAAATAGTATTAGACATTTTCTCTTAGATTTTCATTCTCTATCGAATGGTGCTGAGCAAATGCGACACTTTTTTAACACCCTGTATACAGGATATCACAGAATTAGTAGTAAACCTGTTAATGGAAGATTCTTGAGATAATTGGGAGACGATTTTGCTTCTAACTATATTGATATATAAATTTATAAAATATATAGTTTTTTTCAAAAATTTTGATTTTTCTCAATATTTTATATACAAAATTTTTTAAACAAGATCGACGAAAAATTAATATTTTATGAGATACTTACGTTCATGCAAAATAATGTGTTAAAGATGTAAAATATCCTGTTAAATATTCTCTTTGTGATTATCTTATTCTTACAACTTATTGTTTTAATAATTATATTTCACTTTTACGCGATATTTTTATTTTTTTTATTATTCCCCTTATTTCTATATGTGTATATCGTCTATAATTCTTATAATTTCTTTTCTTTTAATTGCATCTTTTGCTATTTTTTATTTGTTTTCGAATTATTACCCTGTATACATATATATATATATATAATATGATTTCGGTTTTTTTCCTCTCGGGAAAGCAAAACACCAATGGATTCATCTAAAAATGTAGAGTTTTATTAATTTATGAAGTTCTCCTTTTTCAGACAATTTACAAAAGTGTTTACTAACCTAAAAATGTAGAGAATCGACAATTAAATGCTCATGCTCTCCTACTTCTTATCACTAATCGACAATAGTTTAGCTCAATATATTTTATCAACTTTATAAACTCAACAACTTTATCAACCTTATATAATATTACATAAATCAATAGCGAAAACCACGTGGAGCTCTTATTCATCTCTCCCTATCTCTCTCTCTCCAGTCGCGCCGTCCCTCATACATCCAACACTTACCGACGCATGCGCAAAGCTTTCATCTCCCCCCTTAGGGTGTTTAATTTTCATCTTGAGGTGTAAATTAAACATTAATTACTGCAGATCCATAGATGTTGGAATGAGCTTTGTGACGTGATATAATCCGATTGATCTTTTCCCATGACCAGTATTTATCCTATAGACTGAATTTGATATCTTTTCTTCTATCTCGAAGGGGCCAATTCTGATCTCATCCATTTTTTTTCTATTTAGTTTATTTCCATTGACTATATAAACCATGTCTCCTTTTTCAAAATCATATTGCATTCTATTTTTATCAAATAGAGATTTGTTATAATTATGTGATTTCTTCGTTCTAAGTAATGCTATTTCTCTATCTTGTTCCAGGTCTCTTATGTCTTCGTTTTTCTCTTTTAATTCCGGTGGTAACAAGTCAGTAGATTCTCCATCTAATAGGTATTTTGGTGAAAATCCTGTGACTGAGTGGTTTGTCTTATTATATTTTTTTGTACACTCTTCTGCTATTCTGGACCATGCTGATTTCTTCTCTCTTTCATTTAGTTTACAACGTATTTTATTGACTAATGTTTGGTTCAATCTTTCATTCAACCCATTCGTAAAGGGTGCATCCACTGCTGTAAAAATTAATTGTATATTTCGTTCTTTGAGGTAATGTTTAAAATCATTGGAGTTTAGGCCCGGGTATTGATCTGAAAGCAGTATCTCAATCGTATTATTTTTTGAAATCTTCTCTATTAGTTTGATGAAATCCTGAGCGTTTTGGCTTTTTGAGCATAGGGTGTATGCAAATCTTGTGAAATGGTCAACTAGTAGGTGCAAATATCTTTTAGTTGATTTTCGTCCACCAAATCCACCAATTGTATCCAAGGACACTATTTGGAATGGTTTTTCAGCGGGACCTAATTGTGACATTAGACCATATTTTCTATTTAATCTTGTTTTATTTTTGATGCAAATTTCACAATTCTTACATATTAATCTAATATTTTCCAATATGTTCGGTGCCATGTAGAAAGGTTTTATCTTGGCTTCCATCTGATTTATCCCTATGTGGCAGTAATTTTCGTGAGTTTTCTTTATTAATATTTTACTATATTCTTTACTTAGAATTATTTTTTTCTTCTTTTTCCTGTTTTCTTTGTAATAAATACCATCTTTCATGGTTAATTTCTTCTCGCTTTCTTTTATTTGTTGATTGTGTTTTTGGTCCATTTTTATGTCTTGTAGACTAATAATATTTACTGTTTTTAGAGTTTCTTCATTGTTTTCATAAACTTCAAAACTGGATTCCTGCAGAGGCAGTCTGCTTCTGTATTTGTCTTTCCTGGGTTGTATTTTATTACAAAATTGTATTGTGATAAATAATAAGTCATATCTCCCAGTTCATCATCAGTTCTATTTTTAACATTCAAATTTTCCAGTGGTTTGTGATCTGTGTATACAGTAAAAAAATTTCCAATTAACCAATGTTGCCAGAACTTCAAACTTTCTTTAATGGCTAAACATTCCAAGAATATAGCCTTTTTCTTTTTTGTGATTCGTTCAGCTTTTTTGAGAAATAAGCTACTGGTTTCTGTTCTCCATTTAATTGAGTTTGTTTTAAGACAGCTCCCAAACCATTTATGCTGGCGTCTGTGTAGATCGAGATCGGTAATTTTGGGTCGAAAATTGCAAGTACTGGTTTTGAACATAAATACTCTTTAATTTTTTTAAATGTGCTCTGGCATTCATCTGACCAATAAAATGTTGTATTTTTCCGGAGTAGATTGTATAGAGGATCAAGTGTTATTGTAGCGTTTGGAATATATTTACCGTGGAAATTAATTTTACCTAAAAATTGTCTTACTTGTTTTCTGCTTTGTGGAGTTGGAAAATCCTTAATTGATCGTAAGTTATCTTTCAACGGTGTGATTGTATTATCTTTTATTAAATGTCCTAAGTATTTTACCGAATTTGATGCAAACCTACACTTTGTAATTTTTAGTCTGAGCCCTTCTTTTTGGATCGCGTCCAATAATTTTCTTATGTGTTCTATATGTTCAGTGAATGTTCTTGAAAAAATTAGTATATCGTCAATGTAGTTTACAGCGAATCTTGATAAGTCATATTTCTTTATGATGTTTCTTAGAATCCGTTGAAAAATTGCCGGAGATGTTTTTAGTCCGAAAGGCAGACATGTCCACTGGTAATGGCCCTCTTGTGTCACAAATCCTGTTTTGGGTCTATCTCGAACTCTTAATGGAATGGACCAGAAAGCTGAGTTCACATCCAGCGTCGTAAAATATTTACAGTTTATGGTTTCAATCATTAAGTCTTCTATTAGAGGAAATGGCTGCGATTGAGGAACTATTATTTTATTTAGTTCTCTGAAATCTATGCATAACCGACTTCTTTTCCCTTTATCTCTTTTATAGGCTAAGGTTACTGGCGCTGCGAAAGGGCTATATGATTCCTCGATCAAATTATGTTTTAATAGTTCTGCGATTTGTTTTTCTATTTCGATTTTATCTGGGATCGAACATCTGTATGGTCTTTTATAACAGTACTTGTCTACTTGTAAATCAATGAATGCCTCATAGTTTTTTACTCTTCCAACATCGAATTTGTCTTTTACAAAGATCTGTTTATATTCTTTTAATATGGTGGTTATGTGTTCTTTTTGATCTAAGTTTAAATGTTCAGTATCAATTGTAAATTTATCAGTCTCTATTCCTTCATTAAAGTTTACTTCAAATTCTTTGAGTTCTATTTCCATTCCTTTTTTTTCTTCATTTTTATTTTTAGAATTATTTTCATTCCTCTGAAATTCTAACTTCCTATCAATATCTTTATTTTCTATATCTTCTTTATTTGTATTTGTATGTGTTTTTTTTTATTTTTAAATTTTCATCATGAGTTAATTTAAATTTTTTTATTGTGTCTAATCCCAGTATAAGGTCGTGTTCAAAATTTTCATTTTCTAATATAAATGCGTTTATATTCTTTTCTTCGTCCAAAATTTTTGCTGTAAGCATTACTACCCCATCAGTTTTTCCCCTACCATTAATCGATTTTAATATGCTATTATGTATCTTTTTTCCTTTGTTCTTCAATTTTATTATTCTAGAGTTTACCACTGTAACATTTGAACCGGGGTCATATACTCCTGTGGTTTCCAACACATTATTTAATAGCACATCTACCATGATTAATGGTGGGACTTCAAGTTTTTTTGGTCCTCTGTGTTTAATTCTACTTCCAGTATTGAGTTTGCAGATAAAGCTTTATTTTCAGATCTTCTCTTTTCTTCTTTGTACCAGCATTGTTCTTCTGGGTGGTAACGATTATTTTTGCCTTTTTCTTCACAAATTCTACGTGGTTTCTTATCATACTTTTTTGTTTCTGATTTCGTATTTCCTTTTATATTTTTGTTTTCATAAATCATTTTTTTATTTGCTATCTTTTCATATCTTCTGATTTCATTAAATAGGTCTTCTGAATTTTTTAAATCTTGCCTATCAATTCTTTCTCTTACGAATGCTGGCAGTCCTGCCGCAATCAAGTTTATTAGAGTTAATTTATCTATGTTTTTGTTGTCTCTAGTAGTAAACGTTCTTTTTTCAAAGCATAATCTAAAAGTGAGCCACTTAAAAATCTATAATTTAATGCGTGTATTATTGGAGACCATCCTTTGTCTGCAAAAGTCTCTAGAAAATTTTCCTTCCAAGTGTTCCACATTGAGTCTAATGTATGTTTAATTAACATAGAGCTATACCAGTCTTTGCATGTATCTTCTAAAAATAATCTTAAAATTTCAATCTTTTCAATATCTTTTGTAATACCCAATCTGTCACATTCACTTTCGTATGTTAATAACCATTGATTTACACTTACATTCTTACCATTAAACTTGTCGATTACAAACTTTTCAGAAACCTTGCTTAAATTAGGATTATTTTTCAATTTTTGTTGACTTCCTTCTTTTTCTACTAATTTTTCTAGAATTTTTATTAGATTTTCATCTAATTTCTGTGGTGTACTCTGTTGTTGTTGTTGTTGTTCTTTGAGATCGGGGATCTCTTCCAAAATGTAGTCTTCTATAACCATATTTCCACTAGTGTCTTTATAAATACTTAGTGTGGTTTTATCTAAACTAAACCATACTTTTCGTGTTTGTCCGCGCCTTACAAGTGTTTTTTTTACTTTTTTGAAGTCTGGTAGACTTACGAGATGTTGGTGATATTTCATCGGTTGTAAGCAATCTGGTACGCTAAAACTTATGTTTTCTTCATTGGTGATTGATTTAACCACAATCACGTTATTTTTTGGGTCTTCCGCCGCCACGACCTCCAACTCGAATCTTAGCCTTTCCATTAGTATGTGTTAATTAATGTGTCTTCCTTCTTTAGAACTGTTGCACAAACGTGGAAAATTGTCGATTTATAATATGATTTCGGTTTTTTTCCTCTCGGGAAAGCAAAACACCAATGGATTCATCTAAAAATGTAGAGTTTTATTAATTTATGAAGTTCTCCTTTTTCAGACAATTTACAAAAGTGTTTACTAACCTAAAAATGTAGAGAATCGACAATTAAATGCTCATGCTCTCTTACTTCTTATCACTAATCGACAATAGTTTAGCTCAATATATTTTATCAACTTTATAAACTCAACAACTTTATCAACCTTATATAATATTACATAAATCAATAGCGAAAACCACGTGGAGCTCTTATTCATCTCTCCCTATCTCTCTCTCTCCAGTCGCGCCGTCCCTCATACATCCAACACTTACCGACGCATGCGCAAAGCTTTTATATATATATATATATAAAATCACTAAAATCAATGTTTACAAGCAACCATTATAATATAATAAATATATATATTTAAAATACATCTAATATATATAATTTTGATTTAAATCGTAGCACCCTTTATACTGCGCATAATGCAACACGCCTTAACCGAACAAATATTTTGGAAAATCGTTCGCTTATATACAAACAGCAAGTGAGTAATACAATATAGAATATAACATAAAAAAAATAAAATTACATAACTTAAATAATGTATAATAATAGAAGTTTTATAAAATGTCCCTTAATTTTCTCGCTTCTTCTGACATTATTTCATAATGGTGTTTTTTAGTTTTACAATTCCGCTATTTTTCTCGTTTTTCTACTAAATTTATTTTTAATTTCATTATTTTTACTATAAAAACCGCTTTTGTAGAAAGAAGTTGTTGATTTATCGTTGTCTCTCTTTCATATGCAGATTTATTGTTGTTTTGTTTATTTTTGTTTCATAATTTGTTATTTTTTGAAAATAATTTTTAAAATTATTTTTATTCTTTTTATTATTTCCCTTATTTATATATATGTATATTGTCCATAATTCTTATAATTTCTTTTTTTTTAATTGCATCTTTTGCTATTTTTATTTGTTTTCTAATCTTTTTTAACAGGTTATTAAATATCTAACATCTCTTTTCCATTACCTTCTCCATTTTTCATTATTCTTCTCTCGTAGATCTACCTACTTATTTTTCTGATTTTTTGTTTTGTCTTTATTTTCTTTTAATTTAAGATTTAGAAAGACAGGGCCAACTATAACGAGCATATTAAATTAGTGAGAGATGTAATGTCAACACATAATTGATTTATTTCTTAGTAAATATAATGATAATAAAAAATAAAACGTTTCGGCTGTTACCTCAGCCTTCTTCAGTAAATATAAAAAACAATAAAAAATTCTTTTAAGTAAAATTATGACATATTACGCATTAGAGTCTATTTTTTAATGAACATTTTGGTTTGATAAGTCGATGAATTTAAATTGGGTTACGCTTCTATCATTTATTAAAATAGATATTGTTTCTAATCGGCTAACCATTTTTTAACTAAGATGGTAAACTTTTTAATTATGTCAAAAAACATGTAAACGAGCTCACTGTTGTTAGTAGAACAAGTTGACGGTCCATTCCACGTCATCAATTCTTTTGAACATTATTAGTTAAAAATTAGATTCCGAATCTAATTTCTAGAAGAGAAATGTTTCTGAAATGATTCATATAAAGGAACAAAAAAACGGTCTAAACTTAAAAAAAGATACCAATATGCTTGACGAGTCATATTTTGACATTCTAGAAGAATTGTCTTATAAATAAACAGTAATAATAATAGGAGTCACGGTTTGAATTCGACACATCATATTGTGACTTTGTATAGTGAACACATTGACTTGGCGGAATCTTGACTACTCATCAATTTAAGTAAGCAATTCTAATCATAATCAAGATCTTTCACATAAAAAATAACTTATTAATATAAATTAATATACCGAAAAAATAAAAATATACTTAGACAATCACGGTGAAATATACTACAATGACGAACTTACTCGGAAATATCCTTGATGATGGGAACTAACTTTTTGATGCTGGATAACATCTAATTGTTTTCAATTCTCATATCAAGCGGTTCTGACGATATTTTTAACTAATAATGTTCAAAAGAATTGATGACGTGGAATGGACCGTCAACTTGTTCTACTAACAACAGTGAGCTCGTTTACATGTTTTTTGACATAATTAAAAAGTTTACCATCTTAGTTAAAAAATGGTTAGCCGATTAGAAACAATATCTATTTTAATAAATGATATAAGCGTAACCCAATTTAAATTCATCGACTTATTAAACCAAAATGTTCATTAAAAAATAGACTCTAATGCGTAATATGTCATAATTTTACTTAAAAGAATTTTTTTATTGTTTTTTATATTTACTGAAGAAGGCTGAGGTAACAGCCGAAACGTTTTATTTTTTATTATCATTATATTTACTAAGAAATAAATCAATTATGTGTTGACATTACATCTCTCACTAATTTAATATGCTCGTTATAGTTGGCCCTGTCTTTCTAAATCTTATTTTATAATATCACACGAGCCTTGTCTTAAATATCTAATTGTATTCTTTATTAAATTCTTTTAATTTGTTTTGTTATTGTTCAAAATCATTTTATAACTCTCCCAATACTTTGTTCAAATATAATCTGTTTTAGTGCTTTAATGAAAAATTAAATAATATATTATTTAATTGCATTTAAAATTATGTTATATTCTTTATTATCATAATATAAATATAAGATATATAAATAGATGTATAAATTTATAAAGAAAAATGCAATTTTATATTTTGTTTCTTAGTATTTATTAAAATGTTTTATAACATAAATATTACACAAACAATTTTTACGTATTTGTAATGTTTTTCTACATATTTTACATTTTTTGTGAATTTAGCCAATTACATCGCCTAAGTTTTATTAATTTTATGAGGGAAATTGCAGAATCACAAACAGATGATGATCTACGTTACTTGCATAATTGGGATTTGGAAAAGCATTGTCCTCTCATAAAAATAATACGAGATTATAGTCATCCGGTGTACGAAACATTTTTCCGATGGTCCATAGAAAATATTAATGAATTAGAGATTGATTGCTTACCTATTACTTATATTACAGAAACATATCCCGATTTTTACGATTTTTTTATATTCCATTGTATGCGCAAATTCAAGCAGAAAATCAAAACTATTATTTTTTCAAGAGGATAGTTGGATGATATTCAATATGCAACAAATTGATAAATATCGATCATTGACTCATTATGACTTATTACTCGTCTTCATTTTACACACACATACACACAATTGATATTATTTTATATTTTTGTCTATTTTATTCATTATCGTATAAAAATCTGAAATATTCATTATATATAACTATAATAGTTTTAAAATGTTTTGTGTAATGTTCTGCATTATTTAATATATAATTAAGGTATACATCAGTGATTTTTATATTATATCAATCAATATTAAAATTATATATTTATAAATATGTATTTTGTGCTAATAATAATAAAAATTATAAAAAAGTTAATTATATTTATAAAATTAATATAATAATAAGTGCAAAGTAACATACAATTTTCGTAACATTACATGTTACAGAAATTACACTGATTAATAAAAATAATTGTGAAGAAGTTGATCGGAATACAATTAGAAAATATGGTTCCAAAGTCAATGTAATAGCTATCAGATGTTTTAGTGAAATCAGCAGTGCACTGTCGAAGGAGATCATAAAATAAATAAGATTATTTTTGCCAAGTTATAGATTTTCTGCCTTAATACTAAATATCATATTTCAAATTATTACTGTGATGAAACCTAGACTGGTGATACCAAAAATTATTGTTACAATTAATTATGTTTAAAAATATTGGAAATTATGTATGAAAAATGTGTCATATTTCATGGTTTCTGAGAGAATGTGGATCATGTGCTGATTTTTTATTCTGAGCATTATAAAGAAGAATGTATACGTGTGTGTGTGTGTGTGTGTGTGTGTGTGTGTGTGTGTGTGTGTCTGTGTGTGGTAATACACTTTCCTTCTGGATAGCTGGATAGCGTTTATGTGTTCAAACATGTAACTATTTTACAATCTTTTTATACATTACATTCAAATAACGTTTATTTATTATAAATAAATCACATCTGTGCCTCACCCTATGTAATATATGTATATATATATATATATATATATATATATGTATACATATGTATACATTCTTCATAATACTTACATTAAAAAATCAGCACATGATCCACGTTCATTCAAAAACCATGAAATATGACACATTTTTCATACATAATTGCCAATATTTTTAAACATAATTAATTGTAATAATAATTTTTGGTATCACCAGTCTAGGTTTAATCACATTAATAATTTAAAATATGATATTTGTTATTAAAGCTTGAAAATCTATAAGTTGACAAAAATAATCTAATTTATTTTATGGTCTGCTTCGACAGCGCAATGTTGATGTTACTAAAAGTTCTGATAGCTATTAAATTGATTGTGCAATGTATCCAACTATATTTTCTAATTATAATCCGCATAATCGTCCTTCAAAAAAAGGAAATAAACGTTATTAACCATATAAATGTATTTTAACGCGCCACAATATGTTTATAACTTTTCTGCTGCTGCTTATACTTAATGGATATGACTGGCAGTATAATCTTTACTAGCTAATTATCATATAAAATCACATAATAAAAGTACTTGATATTATTAATTATTCATTTATATGATAACTATATATCTTGCTGTTATATATATATATTATTTATACTATAATATATATATGTCCTTCTGGATAATATTTTTGTGTCATCTTCTTGTACATGTGTATATATATATGTGTGTGTGTGTGTGTGTGTGTGTGTGTGTGTATACACATATATAATACAAAATTATTAATCTAATTTAAATATTGCAGGAAGTGTGTTAATATACTTTTGTTCTGAAGAGCATTTCTGCGTTCAACCAGGTAACCATTTCACACTCTTTTTATATATATATATTATATTTATTAACATTTATATGATGACCAAAAATGCTTGCTTATTTAAATAACTATATTTATTTATATGCAAATCTTACATATACATATTAACTGTCCTTCTGGATAATATTTTTGTGTCATCTTCTTGTACATGTGTATATATATGGGTGTGTGTGTGTGTGTGTGTGTATGTGTGTGTGTATTACACATATATAATACAAAATTATTAATCTAATTTAAATATTGCAGGAAGTGTGTTAATATACTTTCGTTCTGGAGAGCATTTCTGCGTTCAACCAGATAACCATTTCACACTCTTTTTATATATTATATTTAAATAATATTATAAATAAATATAAATAAATATATATATTATATA